GGCCACGGCCCCGGCCGCCGCGACCACGGCCGCCACTGCCCGAACCACTGCCGCCGGAACCCCTACTGCCCGAGCCACCTCGGGAGAACCGGCCTCCGCCACGACCGCCTTGGCCACCACGGTGAACGGTCAAGGCAGCCGGCGCACCAACCCGGACCATCACCTGCGCAGATATATTCTTGAGAAATTAAATAATCGGAAAGATCCGAGAGAGTTACCAGGTCACCACGAGTCAACTGAGCAACAAGCGGGTGAAGATCCGATCGCAGTCCACGAAAAACATAAATATTCTGCTCATCAAGAGGAACCGGATGCCCAGCAAGGGCCAAATCTTCCACCAAAATCCGCGCCCGATTCAAATAATCAGAAACCGATGAGGCTCCCTGCGACAAACGCTGCAGCTCACTGAGCAGACGAACCGCGCGAGACCGCGTTGCCGAGCCGAGCTCTTGCTCAATCGCCAACCACAACTTATGTGACGTCGGCGGGCCCACCGCCAACGGGAGCATCTCGTCCGATAGGGACGAGATCAAGAGAGACAGGACAGCCTTGTCCTGCCGGCGCCACTGCACCACCGACGACGCTACTGCCGAGGCAGCACCGCCACTATCCGCCGTCGATGACTCCGGCGAGGCGGCCACCGGACATTCCACCGAGCCATCAACAAATCCCAACACCCCCTGACCTTCGAGGAACGGGAGCATCTGGGTACGCCAGAACAGATAATTGTGAGCGGTGAGCTTGATCGACACAAAGTGATGAGCACTGGACAAGCTCGGAGATGGATAAATGGGGGTGGAGGCAACCTCGGAGACGGTCCGTTCAGAAGAATCACGAACAGATCCATCGTCATTCCTACCCAAAGCTGCCATGGAAAGAAACCTAGATATGATACCAGATGAGGATTGTATTGATTAACCGAAACGAATAATAGTCTGTATAATACTAATATAGAAGAGATAGAAGACAAGTATAAAGAGTTCTACTAGACTACTAATACTAGAGTCCTAACATTATCAAACAAAACTTATAATTTGAATCCTATTTTTGGAATAGTATCAAACAAAACTTATAATTGGAATAAGGGTCAAATAGGTAATCAAACGAAAATACAATGGGACTGAACCTAAAAAAATCTACAATTAAATCTCTAAACTAACCAATTTCATGCAATGTTTTTCTGGTTTTTAATAGGTCACCCAAATTAAAAATATTTTTCTAAATTTAAAATATTGAGAAACATTTTATTGAAACATCATCGCACTATAACTCATATAAAAACAAAATTCCCAGCTATATGAGGTTTTAAATTCAAATTCGAGCAACTAAAACGAAGAAATACATAAATAGATATGTACATTTACTCAAATACAAAATAGAAATACATAAGAGAAAGACTAATGGTATCGGAGGGTTGAACTCTAATATCGGAGTGACTGCCTTTGAGTTTTGACGATGAACGGATCAAAAAGGAGAAAACGGTACGAAAAAGAACATAAAAAAAAAAAATCCTAAATTCGAACAACAACCCAACAATTGCAAATGCTGCTGCTTTCACCAATAGAAAGACAAAAAATAAGTGGAAATTATTTTTAAGAGAAAAAAGAAAAATAGTTTTTGGGTTTGCAGCAAACATAAATAATAAATATTTGATTATCGGAATCTTCAGGTTGTAATTAAAATTTAAAATATTTTTTTAAATAATTATTAAAAAATTATTTTAAGTTTGGAGTGATCGGTTAGAAACTTGAAAAACCTACAAATTAGACTAATTGCATGAAATGAGTTATTTAGGGATTCAATTGTAGTTTTTTTTTAAGGTTCAGATGGGTTAGTTTAGGGATTCAATTTTTTTTTTTTGTTTTTGTTTTTTGTTGTTTGTTTGTTTTTTTTTTTGTTTTTTTTTTTGTTTTTGTTTTTGTTTTTTTTTTTTTTAAGGTTCAATGGCCTAATTGCATTATGGTGTGTAGTTCGATGACCTATTTAACCCTTATTCCTTTATAACTTATTAGTAGTTTAAAATAAGTTATAAACACCTAAATAAGTTCGGCCAAACAGAGCCTACAACTCAGGCATATGCCATGAACCAGGATCTATATTGCATTGTAGACCCTGATCCAAAAATAACTTTCAGATTCTGTATTTATAGTTGACTCATTCTGTACCAGTAGCTATCATACTATATGTCAGCAATTATCAAGTTTTTTTTTTTTTTGAAAGGAAACGAAAGACTTTTATTAAATCAAATGTTCAATACAATACGGAATAGAAGAAATCCAAACACGAGGACCAGATTGTGAAAAGGCTGCTCTAGCAATGACATGAGCACACCTATTCTCTTATCGGCGAACATAATTAAAGGACACTATTTCAAAGTGTCTACGAAACCCCTTACAAGCTTCAATCGCGCATCCTGCATATGAAAAGTTCACACCCGAGCTATTAAGGATATTACATGCCACCTGACAATCAGATAAGAAAGCGACATTAGAGATACCAATCTCTTTTATCCAGGACATAGCTTCACGAATAGCAATCACTTCTGCAAATAAGATATCGTTGAGGCATCGAATATGGCCATTTTTAGCTCTAATATAAGTACCATTGCTATCAAAAGCCACACACCCAAAGTAAGCTTAACCATCCCCTTCAGAACTGCAGCATCGACATAGACTCTAGATACTCCTTCCATAATGTTCAAGCATGTATCATGTGGCACATGTTGAATACTTTCTTGTTGCAAATCAGACCATGCATGAATTAGACGTAAGGCTTGAATTTTAATATGAGTGTACTCCCACTGCTGAGCCTTCCAAATGAGATTATTCCTACCCTTCCAAATACTCCAGCAAATCGCTGCTACTTTCAGAGCTACATCATGATTTGATAAACTGCGCACAAGCCAGCTTGCAAAACCATCAGCATCCGAAGGAGGTGTACTGCTTGTCAACTCCTGCCATAAAGGAATCACCTTATCACAACAACATAGCAGATGAAACACTGTTTCGGGATTCTATGCACATAACGGACAATCAACTTCAACATCTACCCTTCTACTATGCAGAGCCATTAGCGTAGGAAACACATTATGTAGACACCGCCAAAGAAAGTTTTGCACATTTGGTGGAACTCTTAATTTCCAGATTTTACTCCAGGAACCATCCAGGCTCTAGTCATGTTCATAGATGTTGGTTAAAATACGGTATCCCTGCTTGACCGAATATAGACCTCTGACATCTCCACGCCACGACCACGCATCCTCATAATCCACAGATATCGGGATTTTAAGGATAAGTCCAACATCACGAGGTAGGAAGATTGATTGTAGCAACTCGATATTCCAATCATTAGAGCCTGAGTGAATAAGAAAAATTACCTTCATGTGGCGGTCATGGTTTGCTACTGGAGTTTCAATATAAGGGTTGGCATCATCAGGAAGCCAAGGTTGGTTCCATACCGTCGTTAACCTCCCATTACCAATTCGGTGAAAGCAACCACGACGTAGTAATTCTTGACCTGCTAAAATAGAGCGCCAACAGTAGCTTGGGTTAGCACCTATTTTCGCAGACAGAAAATCCCCCTAAGGAAAGTAACGAGCCTTTAGCAGTGATGAAGGGTTTAGCAGCAACCTCCACCCTTGTTTTGCCAGTAAGGCTACATTAAACTTAGATAATCTTTTGAAACCAAGCCCCCCTTTAGCCTTAGGGAAACACATACTACCCCAGGCCTTCCATCGAATTCCACCACCTCGATTACCATTAGACTCCCACAAATACTTGTTCATTATTTTCTCAATGCGATCACAGAAACTTTCCGGTAGATAATACATGCTCATGGTATAAGTAGGGAGAGCTTATGCCACACTCTTAAGAATGACCTCTTTCCCGGCTCTAGACAAATTTTTTTTATTCCATCCACCTAGCCGCTGTTTCAATTTGCATTCATAATTCAATTTGAACCTTACCGTCTCAGACAGCCATGGTCGTCGCCCTCGTTCCAGATGACCATGGCCGCCATGCTTAGACAGCACCAGTTGTTTGCCGAGAACAGCCCGTGTTGTAATCTTATTTTTTTCTTTATTTTTTTTTAAAAATTTCTTAATTTCTAATAAATAAATTAAAAAAAATTTAAAAATAAAAATTATTTAAAAAAGACAAATGTCAAATTTTTGAAAAAATAACCTGCTAACAGGGCGTTTGGTTGGAGGGGGGGAATTATGTGGGAAAGGAATTGTAATTCCATGGGAGTTGAATTACTGGGAATAAAGAGGGAATTTAAATTCCAGTGTTTGGTTGACAGGAATAGAATTACTGGGAATTTCAATTCCAATGTTTGGTATACATGAGAATTGAAAGGGAATAAGTAGTATAAAGTCAAAAATGTCCATTATTGTTGTTAGACATTAATTTTAGGTTAAAAGAGGAAGGGATAATTTTGACTCATCACTATCTTTTTTTCCCGGGAATTAAAATCCCGGGGGGGACATAGGATTTTAATTCCATGAAAATGGGGGAATTGCATTTCCATGGAATTGCAATTCCCTCCAACCAAACTACAGAATTTAATGGCCTTTGGAATTAGGTGGGAATTAAGTGGGAAGAGAATTTAAAATCCCTCTAACCAAACACCCTGTAAATATATCAACTTAGACTTAATTAAATAATTTTACAAATTTAAAAAATTTAAATAGAACTTTTTTTACTTAGAAGATCCAATTACACTATCCACTATCCACTTAATTTAAGGCTAATTTGATCTTTTTCCTAATAATTGTACACCTCACAAGTGCATCATCCTCCTCTGGAAAAGCCGGCTTCCAAGTTTCAACGAGAAGAAATTTCAGTCAACGTGAGAAATACATAATTATATACGATAATTCCAACGCTGTTGCATATATACAGCATAAAAGGCTTAACCGCGTTATAATCCATCCAATAATTCATTCCACAAATATTTTAATCTTATTTTTTCTATTTGCAATTTGTTACGAAATTCCTTTGCTAAAGCGAGAAGTCTATTCACACACAGGCTGTGACACCTTTTTTGACTTTCAAACCTTAGAAGTTAGAACCCGCCGAACACCATCTTCCTCCTACAAGTCTTCCATCGATTTCCAGTACAAATATTCAAGATTTCCCCAAATTTTCCCATCTAAAGTCTTTTCTCTCTACTTCTCTGCCTGTAATTCAGATTTTTCTTTTTGCGCCAAGGGTTTGTTTCAGACATGGCCGCCCCCACCAGCAAGGATGAGAAACCGAGTGCCGGCGGTGGCTTCTTCTCCTCCATAGCTTCAACCATCTCCAGTTTCGGCTCCGCCATGACCAAATCTGTTAATGGGTATCTCCCGGACTTCTTCTTCCTTCCTATTTCTTTCGATTTGCTAGTCTCCTTCAGTTCGATTGAGCTTGATTTGTGTTTCTTTTGCTTCTTAGCATCAGATATGGTGGTGTGTTTTGAAAGTTTGTGATTAGATGAATCTTGTGAAGTTGTGATTACAGATCCAGACTAATTGATGGTTGGGAAAAAATAGAAACTTTTTTATTTTTTTAATCTCAAAAGAAGAAAATTACATAACCCAATCTTCACTAAGATGTTAAAAAGTTGTTTCTCTTGATCTATAATCTCAATAATTTTGCTTCTATTAGTTATTAGTTTAATTTAGGGTTCATGGTATAGTTCATGCCTAGCTGCTTGCTAGTATCAACTTGTAATTTTTAATACAATTTACATTCTTGCTAATTTGAGGCTGGTTTGCATCATTTATTGAGTTCCTATGTTTTCCTTTTGGGATTTATTTATACTTAATTAAAGTGGTTCTTCTTGTCTATAGCTTCCTAGGTTATGAAGGCCTGGAAGTTGTAAATCCTGATGGAGGCACTGAAGATGCTGCGACAGAAGCCCAGAAGGGAAGATGGAAGCAGGAGGTCTGTATCCCTCTCCTTGAAAAAAATGTTTCTGTTGTTCACTGCAATGTAAAAGTATGTTAGATGAGGTGCTCGGTTCAATTTGAACTCATAACCTTTTTGTGGTCTAGTGGCTCGAAGTGGCTCTCCTATATGGGAGGTCATGGGCTCTTTGTGCTTCAGTAGGTTGAGAAAGTAGTTATGGACAGATACTGCGATGTAACAGAGTCAATAGTACTAAAAAAAGCCCCTGACCGTTACTTATTTGACTGTCTTAATTGCTTTGACTGCTTCGATATAGACCAAGAGCGTTCCGGGTGGGTCCAATTATACTGTCACTTTTGATGAGTTGATCCAACTTAATCAGGAATGGAGGACAAAAATAGTTTTAGTAGAGAGCCTTTAGTGATTCACCTTCTTCATACAAAAATCATATTTTTACTTTGAGGTTTCTCTTCGCAGGATCGTGACAATTACTGGAAGGTGATGCAAAAGTATATAGGTGCTGATGTCACCTCACTCGTATCGTTGCCCGTTATCATCTGCGAACCTATGACAAATCTTCAGAAAATGGCAGAGGTAGTTACATTTTGTAACTTGCAGCGTAGCAATGTCTCCTTTTTTATAATCTCTATAATTTTTCTTGTTAAGTGGACTAACACTGCTTTTATTCTGACAGTTGATGGAATACTCGTACCTCCTAAAATTGGCAGATGAATGTGAAGACCCGCATATGAAACTAGTGTATGCAGGTAAACAATCTATTTCCTTTCAAACTCTTGCTGGTATTTTCTGAATGACTTTCTTTTAAACTGATTAACAATGTGATTTTGCAGCTTCCTGGTTTATTTCCTTGTACTATGCCATCCAGCGAACATGGAAGCCGTTTAATCCTATTCTTGGTGAAACTTATGAAATGGTTAACCACGATGGAATTAGGTTTATTGCAGAGCAGGTGAGCCATGATATTTGATGCTTGCCCGGAATTAGGATTAAGATTCAAGGGATTCTACTATCTAATTTGCTGAACCTTTCATTTTTTTTTTTGTATTAGGTAAGTCATCACCCTCCAATAGGTGCTGCACATGCAGAAAATGAACACTTCACATATGATATAACTTCAAAGGTGAAGACCAAGTTTTTAGGAAACTCGGTTGATGTTTATCCACTTGGCAGGTAAAAGCCATTGTTCATTTCAGTCTCAAGCAAACAGTTCTATTTACCATTTTTGTTTCTAGAAGTTGTCTTGTTCTGCAACAGTGTAGCAAAAATCCCGCCTAGGCACCGACTAGGCTGCCTAAGCGCCACCAACCGCCTAGGCCTCCTAGGCACCGACTAGGTCGCCTAGTTGGCCGATTAGCTATTGTTCCCTTCTTTTATAAATGGGTTATTTCACTCAAAACGACATCGTTTTGAGCGAAATAACCCTAAATTGTTCATACACAAGATGTTTTTTAGGTTAATATTTATTATTTAATATTTTAGTATTAACTATTAAAGTATTAAATAGTTTATAATTATCAAGTCTTAAAAATTTAAAAATTTTAAACAATTTTTAAAAAAATAAAAAATAAAATAAAATATACACAGGTGCCTAAGCGCCGATTAATCGCCTAGGCGGTTAGGCGCTAGGCGCCCCCCCGAGTGCCTAGCGATTTTCTCAACCATGTTCTGCAATCAAGCATTATAAGGATGTTAGTACACATCCTAAGACTAAAGTATTCGTGGGAGAGAGTAATACTGAGATATTCTAAGTTTTTGTAGAGAAGTATGTTGGTTTAGCTAAGCAGTGATAGCTTCTAACTTGAAGCTAATTTCATCATGTTTCAAAATTCAAAACAAGAAATGCAATACATGTTATTCATAAAAAATATTCTGTAATTGCTTACATCATAATTCAAATCTGGGAGGTGAAATTTCTTGTCAGCTTAGGCTTCTAGAGTTCTACACTTCTACTCATTGGAGTTAGAAATGTTGAATTTGAAAGATCCAAAGGCTTGGCGGGTGGAGAATAACAACCACCCACCAGTTAGGCGGAAGCAGAGATGAAGAATCAAGGAATGAAAAAATGTATATAATACTGGAAGATTACAATATATTACTATATTCTATGTTTCTAATGAAGAAACATCATACATATATATAGAGACACATAACTCTTAAGTAAAGCACCTATTCATAAACAGACACAACCCTATAGACAGTAATAACCCCTTGTTTTTCAACAAGAAACACATTCTCAAAATGTTTTTTTTTTTTTTTTTTTTTTTTTTTTTTTCCATTAGGAGATTGTTGATCTTTTTCTTCTATTTCTTGTGGTTATTCCATCTCGGATTCAACTATAAGATGACTTCAACTGTAACAGCCTTGCCTTTCCCCTAGTTGGCCTAGTATACTGTGTTGGGCGTCGACCGAGTTGGTCTAGTTCAGCCCCTACTCGATTCGAGACGTGGCTCTGTTGCTTACCATGGAGGGATGTGGTTAAATGGTTAATGTCCACCTACTTATCACCAATTGGTTTTAAGTAGGATATAACAACCAAATAACCAAAGAACTCTGTGGTTAAGCGTGCTTGACTTATAGTAGTCATAGGAGGGGATCTAGTTTGTAATTTCTTCTGGGTGACCGTTTCAAATTTTCTGGCATTGTATGGAATGATTTTGGCAAACTATTTATCCTTTGTGTACATGTGCAGGACAAGGCTGACCCTCAAAAAGCACGGTGTTGTCCTAGACTTGGTGCCCCCTCCTACAAAAGCCAACAATCTTATATTTGGACGTACTTGGATTGATTCAGCTGGAGAGATGATTCTGACAAACTTGACCACCGGGGATAAAGTTCTACTGTATTTTCAACCTTGCGGTTGGTTTGGGTATGTTTTGCTTCTAGTCTCTTGTCTGAAATTGTTGCTCCTATCGGACATCATTTACATGCCCTTTTTTGGTTTTTGATGTTTGTTTACTGCTCTACCAAAAGTAATTTTATTTAAGAGAGAACTGCTTATTAAGCTCGCATGTCTTGTTCCCAATACATGCTGACCTTTTTCCAAATCGTTTGGCATAGGTATTACAACCTTGGATTGCCTAATACCTACTAGAACGCACACTTCATAATGTTAAATCTCCATAAGCTCGTATCATGTTTTTATTTTATTTTTTCTAAATTTTGGAAAAAATTTTGCAGTGCTGGTCGATATGAAGTGGATGGATATGTATACAATGCTGATGAAGAACCTAAAATTTTGATGAGTGGAAAGTGGAATGAATTTATGAGTTTTCAACCTTGTGATTCTGAAGGAGAACCCCTTCCGGGAACTGAAATGAAAGAGGTAACATTCAGCACATCTCATTCTTCTCTTAGGTTTTTTATTTTTTTATTTTTTTTTTTTTAATCGTTGAGGTGACTCTAAGTCTCTAACTGCCCATTATAAGCTTCACGAGTAAGATTTTGTGTTATAGTCTTTACATTTGTATATCTTCTTGACATAATTTCATTTGTGTGCTTCTGAAACATTGAAGTTGTAACACTTGATGTGAAAATGTTTACGGACTTACGGTCTTTGCATGCTTACAAATGGTATTATAATTTCCTTTTTAGGTTTGGAGAGCCGCCGATGCTCCACAAAACGATAAATTCCAATATACATATTTTGCCCACAAGATCAACAGTTTTGACACTGCACCCAAAAAGTTACTGGCATCTGACTCTCGCTTGAGGCCCGATCGATGTGCACTTGAGAAGGGTGACCTATCCAAAGCTGGCGCTGAAAAGAGCAGGTTCCTTTCTCTCTCTCTCTCTCTCTTATAGTTTTGATTGGCTCAAGGTCATTCAACTGGGTTATAATGCACATGGGCCGAACCACACTAAAAGACTGAACCCAATCAGTTAGCTAGTCTAAACTGTGGTCTTATAAACCGATATATTCTCTCTTATTTTTTTTCAATCAATGTGGGACTCTTAACACCTAGTTTACTTTCGATAGCTGTCATCAACTCATTGTATCATTAGTAACACCGCATTAAAAGGTTTCCTCGGGCTGAAGAGATAAAAACATTTTCTAAGTTTGCTTCGTCTTCTTCTTCTTCTTCTTCTGTTTCATCAGCTTGGAGGAGAGGCAGAGAGCCGAAAAGAGAATGAGAGAGGCGAAGGGAGACGAGTATAAACCAAAATGGTTTGATTTAACAACCGAAATTTCCCCCACTCCTTGGGGCGAGCTGGAAGTGTATCGCTACAATGGGAAGTATGATGAACACCGAGCCGCTATTGAGAACTCAGATTGCGTTGTAGAAGATGTTAAAGCCGAGTCGACAGAGTTCAACCCATGGCAGTATGAAGACTCTGTTGTTGCTGCATAATGCCCTTATCATCTTCTCATTGTGTCTCATAGATACTTGTTATTTTTTATTTTTATTTTTATATTTCCTTGTTCATCTTATATTATAGGCTTCAGTTCTTTTAGTTTCTGCATTAATTATACATTTTGAAGTGAGACTGATGTATATAAATATCTTTTTATATTTATATTGTATTACTATTATATTTCATGGGAAAGGTTTCAAATTTGACATTAACGTCATATTTACTATTCAAATGAAACACATGAAATTATATAAATGCCTTTTTTGGAATGTAAACTTGACCAAAAAAATATATAAAACTACAAAGTATTAAAGTTTTACCTACAATTGATAATTAAATGGTTAATTTATATCATATTCTAACAATATATTTTTGTAAGTAATTGAAATTCTCACCAATCATATTCAAAATTCATAATTACACTATCAAATAAATAAATGTAATTACAATTAACAATTAAATGGTTAATTTGTTTAAAATCTTATATCCATTTCATTATATTTTATTCTAACAAAATATTTATATAGTATATTAAGTAATTGGCGTTTTCATAAATCATATTTAACATTGAGTTAATACCCAAAATTGTCCTCCACTATAGTGGTTTTTCTCAATTTTGTCCTAAACGACTTTGGTCTCATAAATTTATCCCAGACTTTTGTATTATTGCTCAATATTGTCCTCCGTTAAATAATCCATTAAGTGGGTGTTAAGTATAAGGTTAAATATGTAATTTCACTGAATTAAGAAAAACCACTCACCTCCTTGAAATTACATATTTAACCTTATACTTAACATCCACTTAACGGATTATTTAACGGAGGACAATATTGAGCAATAACACAAAAGTCTGGGACAAATTTATGAGACCAAAGTCGTTTAGAACAAAATTGAGAAAAATCACTATAGTCGAGGACAATTTTGGATATTAACTCATTTAACATTCAATAATTACACTATTAAACAATTACTCCGTATTATATGTAGTTAAGGAACCAAACTATCTGGGCATCATTGAAGCTGGATCTGTAAATGCTCCAATTCTGCTTTTCTTCCTTCTTTAATGGAGTCAGCTTGCTCTATTTTGGGCCGTGGATGCTCAGGCCTACGCACTAGGCAAATTTTTCTGTGGACTACCTTGGACCAGAGTCTATCTTGTATTGTGAATCCATGTCAACTTTCAAATTTTGTAAACTACTAATTATATGTACAAAATATGTTAACTACAACATATAACATGTTGGGAATCTAGAAATAAATTCATGCTATGGGAAACGGATTGTATGATTGTTTTTAATGCTTTGACTTCAGATTCTTTTGTTTCTGTTTTTGGCTACTTAGTTGATGATGTAAAGAGCTTGGCATCTGAGATTGAGGATGTGGAGTTCTGTCATGTTAAGCGATCTGCGAATTGTGCTGCCCACACTGTTGCTAGGGAAGCCTTTTCTGTGTCAGGTTGCAGTGAGTGGTTGGATGAGCCACTTACTTTTCTTGTTGACATTCTTGATTCCGATTTAATGAATTAATCGTTCTCTTTAAAAGAAATAAGTGTTTACTTTGTATATACATAAGAGACCTATACATACAATATATATAAAGGACCTTGTGGTCTACTGGTATTATGTTGCTCCCATATGTGAGAGCATAAGAGGTATTCTGTTCGAGCTTTGGTGGAGGTGTAGTTTGTATATTTTGGTATTCCCCTTCGGCCCTTCCCTTGATATATAAAGCGGGAAAATGACACTTTTTCCCCATGAATTATAGGCTTATAGTTCTTCATGCATCCACATTTGTCCCCTCAATTATTTAAAAAGTGGTAATTTTTCTCCATTTGATATTAAATGGACATTTTTACTTTTAAAATTAAAATACTTATTTCATTTATTTTTCTTCATAAATAAATTATTACGTGTATGTAGGGATGATCATGGTTCAATTTGAACCAACAGTAACTGAACTGAAACAGTAGGGATGGTTCTTGTTACGATTCAGAATTGAAAAAAATAAAATAATTGTTGAATTTAGACTATTTTAAAATAGAAAATAGAATTTACAAAAATAAATAAATAAAGTTATGAAAGGCCATCAGCGTCTTGGTGAGTTTTTTAGCTGATAAAGTTATGAAAGGCCTTTAAGTCATCGTTGAATGCATTTGACATGTTCCACATACTCATTAAAATAGTTATAATCATCATCATCATCTAGATGGTAGACATTTTTATGGGTTTCTTTTTTGTTGCTTTGAAGTTCAGTATATAATTTTAGTTTCTCATGGACAACTAACATTTGCATTTCAAAATGTTGTAGTTCTGGTTTTGCACACTGTTACCATCTCATTTTGATTACATATGCAAATGTTGATCTTTTCGTTTCTTATTCACAGATGAATATCCATATGGGCAACACTCTGGTGGGTATTTCTGATTTCATAGTTGCATCTCATCTGTATGTTATGATATGGTACGGTGCCACTTAAGTTCATTGTATTTGCAATTCTTCATTGCATTTTAGGGAATTGAAGTAGCTGGGATGAATTTATGCAGCAGTTACTATCTCTCTTGAAGTTTCTTTTCCATCTTCTACTGGATGTACAATGGTGGAGGCCAAGAATTCATGTTGCAATTCAGCTACTATTGTTTGTTGGAACTGAAAACCCTCTATCAAAAAACTTCATCACAAAAACCTATTTTCCATATAACCCCAAATTGCTTCTACAGTGGTACGGCGTGTAATTTCTCCTTTACCATTCCTGTTTTGGTGTTACATTTCTTACCCATTCCATTCATCTTTGAATCAATCTTATAATGCCAACGCGAGATCAAGTTTTACATGTTCATTGCAGCTTGTCAATGTTTCAGGAGCTTGCCAAAAGTAGTAGGCCGTAAGAAGCCATATAGGTTCCTCACCTTTTCCGATTAAGCAACACAGCTCAAGAATACAAGAATGACAAAACTCCAAGGATAAGATCGGAATTGAGAGCCGTTCTCCGATCGAGTTTGCAGCTGAATCCAAATACTTGGTTGAAGAAATGGCTAAGATGAATGTCGACTCTGCCGGATAACTTAGATATTTCATTGACATTCCCAGAAAATTGTTTTAGTTTTTCTACAGCTCCTCAACAAGCACTTAAGGAGGATTAAACTAAGTTTTTGGGATTTTCATATGTATAGCTATGTGCTAATTCATTTTTCCATTGTAAATCTAAGCAGGAAAACAAAAAAGAACTATAGAAAAAGGGACCAGAAATGAGAAGAAAGGAGACTATTCTTGTTCCCTATATCCCACATCGAAACAAAAGGGAAGCAGGAGTTCAACATCACCTAATAAAAAGGGGCCTAGGAACAATAAAGAACATACTTACCTGGACGGAGTCAATGAGCTATCATCAAGACTCATGGCTTAGGCTAGTGACCTTCATTGCACTTTGGAGGTGCATTAGGCTAAGATCTACGTAATAGGTGGAGCCTACGTCATAATTTGTGGTAGTGGGGGCTTGCGTTCGCGTAGCCCCTATCCAAATATGTTTAATATTTTATTTTATTAATTAATTTTATAGAATTGTTATTGTTATTTGGTTAATTATAAAATTATAAAATATGTTATAGTGTTTGGTTAGGTTGAAGAATAGAAATATACACTAATAAACATTTGAAACACAAAATTATCCTCTTGATTTAGCAAATAGAGATTAGCCTAATAGAATACAGAGTATATAATAATTGTTGCGGTCAAATTTTTTAATTAAATGAATGTTTCAGATTGATCAGATTTTAATTTTTCCTTTATTTTTTTCATTAATTTTTGTTAGTTCACCGTTAACTTATAGATCATGATGTCTACACATCAACCGAACCAATAATAGAACCTATGACTATTCATGATTCCATAATTGAATCAAGTCCATACCGGTTCCAAATTAAAATTATAGGAATGTTATGGTAAAACTTCGTTTGAAACGATGTGGTAGAAAGCAACGTGCGACTTGAAGGCTACGATCCGTTGTGGATTGTTACATCCACCATTTGATATAGGAATGAAGATGCTCTTGGCTCGACATCATTTGTTCTGTTCCACGAGAACCCTTGTTGGGTTTTCATGGAAATAGTTCATGATGAAGCTCGAGTAGTTAGTTTTTTTTGGGGGCAGGGATCTAGGGTTAATGCCAATCAATAAATAACTCATTGATTTCAATAAGAAAGGTCTTAGGTTCGAACTCCATACCAATCAAAGTTGGCATAATTAATACTCTATTTTACTCTTATTAAATTAAATAATAATTTAGTAGCTGCAACAAAAAATAATACATATGCATTTCTTTAATTTAGAATTATGTGTCTACAATGTCTTTATTCAAAAAAAAAAATTTATTCATTATCAATGAATTAAATAAGAGAAATTATTTCATTAGTTATATTGTATTTATTTTTCTCCAATATAAAAATTCTTTACATTCAAATTCATCAATTGATTATATTCGCTACATTGTCCATACAATGTCTTTATTAAAAAAAATTATTCATTATCAATAAATTAATTGAAAGAAATAATTTTATTAGTTATATTGTCTTTATATTTATCCAATATAAAAATTCTTTACATTCAAATTCATCAATTGATTATATTCACTACATTGTCTATTATCTTTTTTTGTGCATAATTTTTTAATTAAATATCAAAGTTATAATACAAAATAATGCTATATATTTATTTACCAAGTATTTTATTAATACCATGAAATTTTTTTAAAAAATATATAATTAATAAAGCCAATCATATTAACTACTTGAGGGATTTGTTGACAAAGAGAGAACATATTCAAATAACACAACAAATTAAAGTGAGAATACCTCGCAATGTCCATGTTTAACAATCAACAATTAACGGTTAGCGTTAGCGGATTATATTAGTGATTTTGACAAGCGAATTATATTAACGATTGGTAAACAAATATTTGAAAAAATTAATTGTTTAGATTGACATGTAAAATAACCTAAGGGTATATGATGATGATGATAATAATAATAATAATAATAATAATAATAATAATAATAATAATAATAATAATAATAATAATAATAATAATAATAATAATAATAATAATAATAATAATAATAATAATAATAATAATAATAATAATAATAATAATAATTATCTTGCATTTGTAAACTT